ACAGGCTTTTAAGACCCCAGACGCTACTCACCAAGGTAGAATGTAGAACATTTACTTTATAAACTGTGTTATGCCAGTTGAGCTAGATGTTCCCCGAAACCATCGTCCCTACAGCCCTCTGCCCAGCAATTCAGTCCCTCAGGGAGTTTGGATGTGTCTATCGAGCTTCATGAGCTTGCCTTGTACAAGTTGTGCTGGCTTCCCCAGTATCGTATACTGTCTTACCCTTCACCAAAGTTACCACTTTTCTATTGTCTATTTAGTATTTCACCCGTCCTACCCCTCATCTCTCGTAACCAACAAAGATTGTTTGTTTTTGTATATAAACTTCATGAGTGTTTACAGTAGTGGTCTCAAACAATATTTGCCCTTTTGTGATTGACTTATTTCATTCAGCATAATGTCTTCCAGTTTCATCCATGTTATGAGATGCTTCATAGATTCATCCTTGTTCTTTATTCTTGCATAATACTCCATTGTGCGTATGTACCATAGTTAGTTTATCCAGTCATCTGTTAATGGGCATCTAGGTTGTTTCCATCTTTTTGCTATTGTGAACAACGCTGCAGTGAACATTGATGTGCATATGTCTATTCGTGTGACGGCTCTTATTTCTCTAAGGTATATTCCTAGGAGTGGGTTTGCTGGATCGTATGGTATTTCTAGCTTTCTAAGGAAGCACCATATCATTTTCCAAAATGGTTGTATCATTTTGCATTCCCACCAGCAGTGCATAAGAGTTCTGATCTCCCCACAGCCTCTTCAACATTTGTTATTTCCAGTGTTTTTGATTTGTGCCAGTTATGCCGGGGTGAGATGGTATCTCATTGTGGTTTTAATTTGCATTCTCTAATGGCTAGTGATTGCGAGCATTTCCTCATGTGTCTGTTGGCCACTTGAAGGTCTTCTTTGGTGAAGTGTCTGTTCATTTCCTCTGCCCATTTTTTAATTGGATTCTTTGTCTTTTTGTTGTAGAGGTGTTGGATTTTCTTGTAGATTTTAGAGATTAGACCTTTGTCTGACTTGTAATGTCCAAAATGTTTTTCCCAGTCTGTAGGTTCTCTTTTTACTATTTTGGTGAAGTGTTTTGATGAGCATAAGTGTTTAATTTTTAGAAGATCCCAGTTATGGAGCTTATCTTCTGGAGTTTGTGTGTTGTTGGTTATGGTTTGTATCCTTTTAATGCCATGTATTAGGGCCTCTAGCGTTGATCCTATTTTTTCTTCTATGAACTTTATAGTTTTTGACTTTATATTTAGGTCTTCCATCCATTTTGAATTAGTTTTTGTATGTGGTGTGAGGTATGGGTCCTGTTTCATTTTTTTTGCAGATGGACATCCAGTTTTGCCAGCACCTTTTGTTAAAAAGACTGTCTTTTCCCCATTTGATGGACTTTGGGCCCTTGTCGAAGATCAGGTAACCATAGGTGGATGGATTTACATCTAGCTTCTCAATT